GAAAATGCTATGTTAGACAAGGATCTATGGAGAGAAATCTGTACTTGTTTGGTCCCGGCTGGACAGGCCGACAATAGATAGATAGAGAGATGTCCTCACAAAACAAACCGCACCAATCATGCCCATAGCCAGGGGGACGACCCCCCCCCCCCGAAAAAGGCTCAAAGGTCCACTTTTTGGTCCACTTTTATCTAAAGGTCCAAGATTTTTCTTTTCTAGATGGACTGATTCGTATCACCAGCGGGGCTGGAATCTGCCTACTTTGTCATTGAATAAAAAGTTATCTCTGATTTATTCTTTGAAATCCTTTGAAAAATGTAGGAAATGCCATTTCGAGGGTTCATTTTTCTAACTTTTCCAGGGGAGCCTGGTTGAATTACACCCGTTTTTTAGAACTGGGCTAATCAGAAGACAGCCGAAGACCACCAAACCCCCAGTTCTATAAGCCTGCTAGGGAGGCTACCCAATGCCCAAATATGAGTTTCGAGCCCTGTCTTACAACGTGCCAGCTTTGGATCAGGCAGGAAACAGTTAAAGCTTTCCTCCATCAGCCACAGCGGCAGAGAATTTCCTCCAGTTTAGGGAAGGGCAGTCCTAAGGCTGCATGAAAGCATTCCTTCCCAAAACCTCCCCCAAACCTGATCTTTTTACGAGTGTATCTTAATCACTCAAGAACTCGCCGTGGCCTCACAAAGTACAGTAGGAACAAGGGGCAACACCTGTTTTTGAGATGTTCTTGAGCGACCTTGGAAGATAATTGGGGGCCTCCATGGGGGGTCCCGACAACGCTTTACGCTAAATTTTGAGAGCTGGCTACATATTGCGCTGAATTCAGGAAACAATTACGCTTTACGATAAATTCCAAGTGGCTACAACGTATTACGTATAATTAAAACGGTTAATACGCTCCACGCAAAATACGCCAATTACGCTCTACGTTGAATTAGAGCGGTCCATCTACGATCTACGTAGAATTAAAACGGCCGATTACGCTCTACGGAAAAGGGCATGCGGGCCCCATAATTGGGCAGTCTTCCCATTATCTGGCATAAGTAGAGCACCTGATTGTTACATGATGGCATTTTGGTCACACCACCTTAATTTCTTGGTTAACGGATTCGCCCCCTTTATTTTTTTCTGATTTGCAAATAAAAATAAAAATTCAGAATCAACTGCAAAATGCTCATATTTTGCCCTGAACAGTTGAAAACAGTCCTTTTCATCCTAGTTGTTACAGCTATTACATCTTTCAATGCAATGGTATCATTAAAAGTTCAAAATTCATTGTTAAGATTTTGAACCAGCCTGGTGTGTTGACTTCATGGCTCCTATGGTACCATTTTGGGCCATAATAGTTTTTATTTAATTTTTTTTTCGCCCGCCCGCTCCATTATTTTTGTAGAAAAATCCGTTAACCAAGAAGTTAAATTGATGTGGCCTAAGCTGTAATCAGACCTCCCTGGAGCTTGTGATATTTGGTTTTCCTCGCTGTGCCTGCGGGCGAGCTTTAACTTTAATCCTTCCTTTCACGTTTCCTAAAGCATTAAGTGGCTGGATCGGTCGGCTGTCCGGTGAGGAACATTCTTGCGCAGTGCTGTGAAACTGATATCTGCATCTGCTATGTACCAACTACTAAGTACCTAATACCAGCCCAGAAGAGAACAAGAAATAGCCATCATCCCCTACTCATGCCCTAAAGTACCAGAGTTATCAACCAAGGATTGAGGTGTTCAAAAATTCATTCTTTCCTAGAACTATCGCAGAGTGGAACTTGCTGTCGCCAAGTACAGTAGGGGCATTGTCATTAGATAGCTTTGAACCATGTTTAGAGTTAGATGTTCAAGGGTTAGGTGTAACACGTCGTTCGGTGTGATGTAGCCAGGTGCCGCCGCGCCGCGTGCCTGCGAAGGGCGGTTACACCGGCTATACTGATACAGATCTGCTTACGTGTTCCCCTGTACCATTACCAGAGAATAGAAGATAAGGCCACACCAAATGTAATCAACTGTTTCACGGATTTGCCTGCTTCATTTTTGCAAAAAAAATTGGGTTCTGAAGTGGTCATATTTTGGCCCCAACAGTTGAAAAAGTCATTGTCTTCCTATAAGAGTTGTTACAGTTATTCCATCCATCAATGCAGTGGTTTGAGCAAAAGTTACCGTGTTCATCACCTTCGCCAAGAAGGTTATGTTTTCGTAGGCGTTCGTGTGTCTGTGTGTGTGTGTGTGTGTGAGCACGATAACTCAAGAAGGCTAAGATGGATTGTCTTGATATTTGGTAGGTGGATAGGTCTTCATGAGACGTGGAACTGATTAGATTTTGGGCCCCCTAGCGGCTTGTTATGGTACTGCAGCTGAACTTCCGGTTTTGATATCTTGTGATCCAGACATGCTAGGGTCATGAAATTTAGACGGTAGATAGCTCTTGTGCTGGGAATAAAGTGACACGAGTTTGAGCCTCCTAGCTGCTTGCTCTGGAACTGCAGGGGCGTTAATTGAAAAATGTTTAAAGGCGGATAACTCAAGAACCGATTGATAAATCGTCGTGATATTTGGCATGTAGGTAGCTGAGGTGATGCTTGACATAATAATATTACAATTATGCAAATATCAATGTAATTTGCATAATTAATGAGGAAATTCTAGAAATCAGCTGCATTCCATGATAGGACTATTCAAGCTTGTGACATATGCAATTAAGAATGGCAGAAATACAGGCAGATATCAATTATGCAGATGAGGACTTAATTTGCATAATTGATGAGAAAATGTTATAATTACATAGTGGTAACTGCCTGGAATTTCATACTTGGGATGTTTGAAAGTCATGTGAAGGTGAACATAATTAAACATAACTAATTCAAATAAGGACCTCATTTGCATAATTTATGAGGAAATGCTATAATGGCATTCTTTGATAAGATAAGACTGTCTTCTGGTGTAGAATATGATCAACAGATATAATTGATGCAATATAGGATCCTATTTGCATAATCAGGGGGGATTAATCTATAATTTCTTTGTCATTAAGGCTAACACCATTGGCGAAGGTATGAGATCGTGGAACTCTAGTTCATTGTTTGAATCATAAACCAGCCTGATATGTTGACTTAATGACTCCTTAGGGCTTTTTATTCACCCTGTCGCTTCATACTTCCTCAAAAACAAAAACAAGGTGGGGTCATGTGGCGTAGTGGCATCGTGCTCGACTCGGAACCATGAAGTCCCGGGTTCAAGTCCTGACATGCCAAGGATGTTGTGCCCTTTGGAAAGGCACTTTACACGACTTTCCTCACTTAACTCGAGTGAAAATGATTATTGCTTGTCCTGTAATCGCCTCTGCATTGGTGGCGGCATAAAATATGTTGATATAACTTGAGTGTGCTGTCACACTGCTTTCTAAATTCTAGTCATGAAATGTTGGAATGAAAAAAAAAAAAACAAGAACCAACAAATTACATTGCTGTGGCCTAAGCATGAAGTCCTCAGTTCAGCATATTGCCAATACCGGTAAGGCCACAGCAAGTAAATTTTATGGATGACATCCTCCACAGATTCCAAATCTAATGCGAGCGGGCGAAAAAAAAACAAGGTGGGCTGAAAAAAACAAGGTTCTTACATTTTGAAATTTTGACTCAATCATTGTACAAATGGTTTTGATTCAATGGGAACATCACATATACACAGCCATCATCACATATCACTGCATCAAAGTAAGAAACAAAACATTAAATCAGAGCCTTGTCTTGTCTCCTCTCTTTATAGTTATCTGCTGTCCACGGTCCGGCATGGCAACAGACATCTTTGTCTATTTTAGGCATGGTGACCACTGTCAGAAGGCAACAAAATTTCTTGTTTTTTTTCCCAAAATCAGGCAAAAATTAATGCGCGCGCTGATGTCATCCATAAAAATTACTTGCTGTGGCCTAATCTACAGATGGGCATCTGGTGAGGCACAGATAAGGAAGATGGACTGGGAAAAGTTTGTGAAAATCTACACCAGGAGGATACTAGAAATAGCCATGCCTTCTAGTACCAGAGTTATCAACCAAGGATTGGGGTTCTCAAAAATTTCTTTCCTAGAACTACTGTATATGTATCGCAGAAGTGATTGGTCATTAATTATCTTAATGACGGCAACAGTGGTCATTGAAAATTTTGATCTCTGCAAGTGCAACCTTTGTGTTGGAATAAAAGTCAATGTTTTACTATGATTACTACCATTTCATACATCTTAGCAACACAGATAAGTTCATATTTCTAATGGCTTTAGACAAACCTTCGATTATAAAACACATCTGTACTTATATCTACATCATTACTAAGAAGCGAGAAGAAGCCAAATTATCGTAATTATTAGACTATATGTCCATAGTACATAGAATTAGCGCTAGCTTGTACATTGTATAATATTATATTCGCAAACTGTGACGTCTTTCCTGTGACCTGTACTGAACCCAGTGGGTATTTGCGTACAATAAAGGTCTTCATTCATTCATTCACTACCAACACAGATGAACTTTGCATGAAAGTTCATCTGTGTTGGTACAAATCATTATGAAATAAAGACTGAGCTTTAACTTCCAACACTAGATACAGAATTGGGACTTACCCCAAATTTTCGGTTGACTCCATCAACCTTGTTCACGGAATGGACCCGTCTACTCTTGGAAAGTGACGTCAGAGACACGTGACCGTAGTAGCGGGTCATACGTGCCAGATAACTTGTGTCGCCCCCGTCTCTGTTCAGGGTAGGTCTGTGAGCTCTTATGTAGACTGCCTCCTTAACTCCTCTTGCACGTATCACCCGCTACTACGGTCACGTGTCTCTGATGTCACTTTCCAAGAGTAGACGGGTCCATTCCGTGAACAAGGTTGATGGAGTCAACCGAAAATTTGGGGTAAGTCCCAACTCTATATCTAGTGTTGGAAGTTAAAGCTCAGTCTTTATTTCATATATACAGATGAACTTTCATGAAATTATTTTCAGGCTAAACTGACCTGTTTCTGAGTGGGTCCCTCGTGGCTGAAGTATCCGAGTGAGAACAGGCGGGGATACTGTAAGGGACAGAAGAAAACAATCATTGACATTATAATACACCAGCCTATCTAAGACTGTGTCCGACATGCAAGGAGGGTATTGAAGACGAATTCCACTTTATGATGTCATGTCCAACATATAAAGAAAACAGACAAAAGTTGATGCAATCCATAGCTTCCAAAACTAATGTTGCGCTACCTCACTCAAAATCAGATAAGACCAGACCAATTTAATTTGTTGGTCCACGGATTTCAATCAGGGTTTCGGACAAGAACAGTACATTCTGCCGATGTGCTCTCTTCCCCCATGTAACTTTTGCCCGCACATGTGGACCTCTAGTGTTGAACTTGGCTGCTTAGTTAGTAGGGGGGGACGAACTGCATTAGCACAAAACCCAAGTATTCTAATTGTGCATAGCACTTTGGCAGAACATCTCATATAAGGTCGTATTTGCGTATATAAGGTTAACGTTAACACTATGTCTATAGTTTCCAAATGTTCTGTCAAAAAAGATGTTGTCTGCAGCAGGCAACATTTTGATGCAACGATGACCAAAAACCAAACGAAAACCGTGCAAAATCTGGGTTTTGCAAAAGCACGGTACGTTCTGCCGACGTGCTCTCTTCCCCCATGCAACTTTTGTCCGCTCATGTTGACCTCTAGTGTTGAACTTGGCTGCTTAGTTAGTAGGGGGGACGAACTGCATTAGCGCAAAACCCAAGTATTCTAATTGTGCATAGCACTTTGGCAGAATGTCTCATAATAAGGTTGTATTCGCGTATATAAGGTTAACACTACGTCTGCAGTTTCCAAATGTTCTGTCAAAAAAGATGTTGTCTGCAACAAGCAAAATTCTAATGCAGCGATCACCAAAAACCGAACGAAAACCGTGAAAAATCAGGATTTCGCGCGAGCACAGTACATTCTGCCGACGTGCTCTCTTCCCCCATGTAACTTTTGCTCGTACATGATGACCTCTAGTGTTGAACTTGGCTGCTAAGTTAGCAGGGGAACAGTGGTTTACGCAGGAGAGTGACATTTCCCATGCCCCGGCTATCAATGTTTCAACACTCCCATCAGCACCGCTATAAACATCAGAGTTATGCCTTAACGACAACAACCTTTACTACCACCGTATACATCACATCTGGATGTGGTCTGAACCTAAGGCTTTCACTACTGCAAGTTCTTACATGCCCATAGCCAGGATTTTGAATGGGGGGGTTCTTCCAACTGCTGGAGGGGACCTCGAGCGCCGTAGGCGCGAGGTTCCTAGGGGGGTCCGGGGGAAATGAACCTTCTAAGATGGCATTTCGTGTGTTTTTGAGAGGATGTCAAAGAAAAAATCAGAGGTAAATTTTTGTTCAATGACAAAGGGAGCAGTTTTTCTACGATTCCAGTCCATCTTTTAAAGAAAAATCTTGGACCTTTACATAAAAAGTGGACCAAAAAGTGGACCTTTGAGCCTTGTGGGGGCGAACCCCCCGAATCCCCCCTGGCTACGGGCATGTTCTTACCATGACAGTTAACGATAAAAAATATCCAGACTATTCAACTACAATCTGACTAATAAACTGTTGGGAGTACCAACTACTAAGTACCTAATACTTAATACCAGCTCAGAAAAGAACAGGAAATAGTCATGCCTTCAAGTATCAGAGTTATCAACCAAGGAAAAAACTCATTCTTTCCTAGAACTATCGCAGAGTAGAACTCGCCGTCACCAAGTACAGTAGGGGCATTATCATTAGATAGCTTTAAACAATGTTCAAAGGTAAGGTGTAACAAGTCTATCGGTGTAATGTAGCCAGCTGCCGCCACGCCGCGTGCCTGCGAAGCTGGTGTGTTACGTCGAAAGGCGGTTATACCGGCTAAACAGGTACAGAAGCTGGTGTGTTACGCCGAAAGGCGGTTATACCGGCTATACAGATACAGAAGCTGGTGTGTTACGTCGAAAGGCGGTTATACCGGCTAAACAGATACAGAAGCTGGTGTGTTACATCGAAAGGCGGTTATACTGGCTTTACTGATACAGAATTCACAGTTGTTTTTAACTGACTGATTGATGATTTGTTTCAAGATTTTGAGAAAATATAATTCACTGTCGTCATGTGGCCCGGTGTGCCTACATACGTTATGACTTTATGGAGTTTCATAAAACGATATTCATAATGCAAATTCTCATTTCCTGGCTACAATAACTTCTGATAGCTTTACGACAGGAGGGTCCACTTGATTACTTTTAATCTACAAATAAAGCAGCAGACGCGTGATAGTGGGTATTGTGGGTGGGGAGAAGTTCATTGAACTTCTTGGCATCGTGTGGTGTAGTGGTACATCACTGGACTATGAAACGGGGAGACCCGGGTTCTATTCCGGGTTGTACCCAAACAAGTCCGAACATGCGCCCCGACGTTGTACCCTTGGGAAAGGTACTTTACACGACTTTCCTCACTCCACTCAGGTGAAAATGAGTACCTAGCTTTGGCTAGGGACGTCCCTTGGATAGGATGTTAAATGGAGATCCCGTGTTTGGGAGAGCCACACCCCACGCACGTTAAAGAACCCACCGCACTTATCGAAAAGAGCAGGGGACCTTCCCGGTGTGAGTGGTTCAAATCTTACAGTCTTGTCTCGGGGCTGACATCTTGAAAAGGTGATAGTCACCTGTTATGTCAATCCTTCCACAAATGTGGTAAATCGTCATAAATAAATCCGAACTGTATTCTTACTACATGTATATAGCCTTCATTTATTTATCATTACTCTCACCAAGAAGGTTACATGTATGTTTTCAGAGGCATTCGTGAGAACTGCTACATGACGAAATGCTACATTGTCAAGACTGTCTTTGGGTGGAGAACATGAGCAACTAATATATGATATGATATGAATCTTTATTGCATGTTCTTGCCCAGATGGGCTAAATACACAAGAGGATGTCCAGTATGTAAAACATGAGTATTTCATACTGGTACGCTATATTCTAATGAGGGCCTGCATGCCCTTTTTCGTTAACCGTTATGGGCTATTTTAATTCACCGTTAATCGTTGCCGGCCCACTCTAATTCAACGTTAAGCGTTATCGGTATATTCATCGTGAAGCGTTATCGGTCGTTTTAATTCAACGTAAAACGTTATTTGTCATCCTAAATTCAGCATTAAGCGTTAATGAATAATTCTTCGTTACGCCTAATTTTGCCTTTCAAAGTGCAGGAAAATGCGTCATTGAAGGTTCAAAAATACAAAATTTCCTGGGGGAGAATGCCCCCGGACCCCCCTTCATTGCTCGCGCCTTTGGCGCTCGACTCGCGCTTCTGCACTCGGTCCCCTTCGGCTCTTTCTTGACATTGACAACAGGTCAAGACACAGGTTATCAAGGCAGTGTTAACTGGTATTAGATAACCCACATGTACAGGCTCTAGCCAGCACCAGTTTTCCGTCGATTACCGGAAGTTTGCGGAGAGTTACAGAATTTTTTTAACGAATCCGTCAACCTCGACAGACAAAATTAACAAAAATCTTGAGTGAAAATATGAAAACATCAGAAGGACCGACAAACACTCTCAACACCATGATTTGCCTCTCAAAACGCGGGAAATTGCGTTTTTAAAGGTTTGAAGGCTTAGAAATCCTACATTTCCCGGGGGAGCATCCCCCAGACCCCCTCAGCTTGCGTGCGCCCAAAATCCATTGGTAAAACTGGGCGAACGGAAAAAAAGTCAAGCTGGGTAGAGCCCTGGCCGACGTCGACTCGAACTCCCCTTTATTTGTGGGCGCACTCGGGGACCAGGGCAGGTGGGAAACACAGGGAACACATACCTTTAATGCGTGCTTCACAGATTACATGTAAGGTATACGAAATTTTCTCAGTGATCACCTTATCTCACAAAGCGAGATACCAAATCCAGTGCAGCTCGCAAAAAAGCCTGTCAATTTACCGTTAAGCGTTGCCGACCGTCCTGAATTTACCGTTAAGCGTTATCGGTCCTGCTGAATTTACCGTTAACCGTTACCAGGACCCCCCCATGCAGACCCTCTCTAATGCAAAGTGCTAGGAATCTATACATTCAAACAATGAATTTTGAACTTTTAATGATACCATTGCATTGAAAGATGGAATAACTAGGATGAAAATGGACTGTTTTCAACTGTTCAGGGCAAAATATGAGCATTTTGCAGTTGATTCTAAATTTTTATTTTTATTTGCAAATCAGAAAAAAACGAAGCGGGCAAATCCGTTAACCAAGAAATTAAATTGGTGTGCCTTAGGAAACAATTCAGAGGTCAAGTGAAGGTCAGACTGCCACCCTTACATACTGTAATGTCACCTTCACTCTCTCCAGCAAATTTCTTAAACTCCGCTCCTGAAGGAACTAAACTCACCTTGACCTTGTCACTGTGACTGCCATCAATCGCCTCAGACTAATTAGGGACATGCCTCCCCCCTCCAGGGGACTCAAACAGCACGATTTACTACAGGAAGTGTCGTGATAATATCAGAAAGGTGCTAGTCAAGGCCACACCAATTTCATTTCTTGGTTAACGGATTTTTGTAGAAAAATAATGGAGCGGGCGGGCGAAAAAAAATAAAATAAAAACAGGCCCAAAATGGTACGGTAGGAGCCACGAAGTCAACACACCAGACTGGATGAATTTTGAATGAATTTTGAACTTTTAATGATACCACTGCATTGAAAGATGGAATACCTGTAACAACTAGGAAGGACTGTTTTCAACTGTTCAGGGCAAAATATGAGCATTTTGCAGTTGATTCTGAATTTTTATTTTTATTTTCAAATCAGAAAAAAATGAAGCGGGCGAATCCGTTAACCAAGAAATTAAATTGGTGTGGCCCAAGTGCGAGCTTTTTTCATGAGTCTGCAAACTCTTTACAGTGTGTATATATAGAGTTATATGTAGATGTCTGAGGGTTATAACTAGGTGTAAGAAGTCATTCGGTGTGATGTAGCCAGCTGCCACTGCACCACGTGACACCTGCCTTTAAAAAGTCAAA